CTGGCACAACGTAAGTTGTGTCAATCTAGTAACACTTTTTCAGACTTTTCCGATTGTATTTAAAAGCACAAGCTTTGTAACAAACAGCTCACTTCATCGCTTCTGATATTTGGTTGCTGCACATGTAAGCTAAAGAAGAATAGGATAAGAAAATCCTGCTGATGATGTTACCTAGTCTGGTAATGAAATGTTCAGAAATTAATTTAAATCTGTAGAGATTCTCGGTCATCCAGGTCATGGTTGTCTCAAAGGTGCTTTTTCAGAATCAACTGGATTTTCTTGTTTTTTTTTCTTTTGAAAACATTTCATTTCTCATCCAAGAAGCTTCTTCAGCTCTGACAGGATAGTGGGGAATGGAAGGATTATTAAGGATTACCCTGTCAGAACTGAAGAAGTTTCTTGGATGAGAAGCGAAATGTCTTCAAAAGAAAAAAAAACAAGAAAGTCCAGTTGCCTCCTGAAAAAGCACCTTTGGGATAATTTGAAACAGGCTTGGGGAACAAACCACTGGCAAAATATCTTGTGGTTTCAGTATTGATATCTAATGGCTAGGTAACAAAATAATAAATATGATCTGGAGTTTCTCGCACCATCCTTCCATCTTTCCCTCTTTTTTCCTTAGTTCATTTTCAACATTACCATTTAAATGTGACTTTGGGGGTGTTCTCTCTCTCCTCCCCATTTTGTTTAACTCCAGTTAAGTTACTGGGTCAATATTTTCTCCCCAGAATAGCCATCGATGAGGAGTTAATCTTTTTTGGGACTTTATGGCAGAATATGTTTGATGTATTTCTTTGGAAGAATCCAGGGAACCTGGATCAAAATTCTCTTTTACATGTCTAATAATGTGCAGATTGGCTTTCATTGCTGCACCAGAACCAAACAAGCTGTAACTACAGGATTCATAATTCGTTACACTCTTCTTCTACCATAATTGCTATCACTGTCGCCCTACTAAAACTGAAGTAGACAGGTAGTCAAAAGCAAGTGATTGAGTGTGCTTTAAAGTCTAGCACTGAAACCTCAGCATATATATAGTAGAGCATTCCTCGGAACTAAGTTTTGAATCTCTTTGCGGAGGAGCAATTTGAAATGAGTTGCCTAAGTGGGTGTGCTCATGTGATCCTTAGTATGAATTTTTCACTTTTGGTGTTTTGCATTTGTAGAGAAAAGGCATTTAGGTGTTAGGTGGACGTATTTTTAACTGCATGCAGTTTTATAGCAGAAAGTTTTATACACTTACGCTTTTCAAAGGCCCTCTTTCTGAAGATCAGTTAAGATGTTGGTTTCCTTAATGGTCAAAGGTATCCATTGATATAGAAGGAATGCAGCAGCTGAATTATGAAATCCTGGCAGGAAAGATTAATGACCTCTTTCACAAAACACTTTCAAGATGAACAACTGTTTGAATATAGGCATCCAAAGATTAGGCAGGATTATTAAGATTACAGTAGTTTGTAGCCAGCAATCTTATTGCTCTTTCCTCTTACAACATCTAAATGTGTTCTCTCCATTTGGGAAGGGCCATTTTTCAACATTTGGGGATATTCCCTGTGCAGTACACCTGCATCATATTTCTCATTTTGGTGGTAACAATTATTCATTGCAAGGTTCTACACACCATCCCAGCTGGCTCATATTTTAGCAACATTGTAGTGGGGGGCAGTGGGGTGGGGGGAGGACACAGGATGTGTGTGNTTTAAAGTTTAAATCTTATGCCTTTAGTAAAATATTGACACTATGATTCCCAAACTGCATCTGGGAAAGATCTGTTGTGTTTTATCATTTCCTTAGAGATAAAGATTTTTTTTTAAAAAAAGAAACCTATTCCTTCAAAGCGCTAGAAATCTGTGTGGAAAATGGTGCTTCTGTTTGATCAACAATCTATAAATGTAGCAGCATTTCAGAAAGGAATCTTTTGTGTCATAAGGGCATATATATGCATGCTCACTGCCATGGGTTTTTTCCCCCCTAATAGGCAGATGTGCAATTATGTTTAGCTATTAATACCTTTGCCTGATGCATCATAACATTCCCAGAACTAACGTCAAATATGTATGAAAACTGAATGCTAAACAGACTACTGTGTCAGTGTTCCTCTCCAAGCTCTTATAAATGCTAGCATTATGACTGAGGGAGCATCTTTTTTTTCTAGGATATTAATCAGCACAAAGAAAATAAAACAGGAGGGAGGAGCAGCTTAGAAAAACATAATGCCTTCATTCTGAGATTGGAACAGTTTAATAACATATACAAGTATGTTCCCTTGCTATTGAATTCCGTGTGTTGGCTTTAAAAATCTGCAACAACGTAAGACATGGAGAAAAAGGATTCAACTATAAAGGATAGGACTGTGTTGGGCGGTATTTAACAATACGTACCCTTTTTCAGCTGCATTCCTCACC